TTGGGCTTCAGAGCCCTGGGCTGGGAGAAAACTCGCCCGCAGCACCAGGAACTAATCCTACGCGCACTGGCGCACTGCCGGCTTCGGGGAGCCCTGGGCCGGGAGCAATCGCGCGAACGGGAATTTGTCTGCCTAGCACAGGCCCAAGGATCCCTTTTCTCGGGGCAGGAGGCAGCACCAAGCACCAGTGACTTGACTGTGTTTCTTATCACCTGCGCCTGAGATCCTGATTCCCTGTGCATTCATACTAAGAGCCAGTGAATCCAATTCCTGGTGCAAGGGCACACAGGGACCCTGATTCTCAAGGCGAAGTCGCGCAAAGCAACAGAGACTCTGATACTGGACTCTTGGGGAACTCTGACTCCTGGCGCATGCTAGGGGGCTCTGGTTTTCAACACGCTCCAGGGGGGTCTCTATTTCAGCACGGTGCAGGCAGGGTCCCTAATTCTAAGGGCACATACGAGGCCACATTGAGCGCTGGCAACACTGACTCAGAGCGAGCCTGGTTCCCACCAACCAACAACAACCACACATCTTAGTGTCAGAGCTCTTCAGTGACACTAAGGTGGTGGGAGGCTCCCACTGCACACGGCCCAGGCCCACGCAACCCGACCTTTGATCCATCGGGAGATAAGCAGAATGAAGAAACGACACAACACCCAGAGGAAAGACAATGAGGAATCACCAAGAAAGGAAATTAATGAAGTTGAAGCGTGCAACATGACAGAAAAAGAATTCAGAATAATGGTTGTACAATTCATTCACCGGATGGATGAGAAAAATATGTGGTATTTTTCTATTATAAATGTCAATATTCATATTACTATAATCTCATATTTACTGATTGTCTAACATTGACCAAGCACTGGGTTAGTCTCTCTAACTTATATTTCATTGGAAAGTTTTGGACAAGAATAATACCTGCTACTCAATAACTGTATGACAGCAAAATTTACATAGGTACAAAAATGTTTCCAAAACATGAAAAACAAAGGTAATCTATTATAATCTCAACATGAATAAATTATTTGATGTTTTCAAAGAACTTACCCTTTAAAATGTAATTAACAAAATGTCTACACAGCTGTGCAGCAAATTTATCACAAAAAGCCTGAGACTGCTGTCCTTAGAAACACCTGCTAACTAGGTGGGCCCTCAGCCAGCACATGGGAAACTGGTTCTTGGAGTATTCCCAGTGAAGAGTTAACTGATAAGGGTGGCTCTCTGTGCCCAGAGTGTTTGCATAAACAGTATGGTTTATGTTAAACACCTGCTTTCCTCTGAGAATCTAGATTTTACTTTTATGTGGTAGGCAGGATGTCTACATGACCAATCCCAACAAATACCTTGGACACCAAGTCTACAATGGGCGTCCCTGGAGAGAAACAACATACACAGGTTCATTTTTTTTGCTTGGGGGTGGGGGGAGGATTGGTGGTGTTTGTGCTACCCTTCAGGGGAGGGAGAGAATATAAGGAATCCTGCACATGGATTCTTCCAGAATCTGCCTATGTCTCTTTCTCACAGGATCCAGCTGTGCATCCTCACTACTTCACTGTAATCAACTTAAGCCATGTGTACAACTACTGAGACCCACGAGTTCTAGAAAATCTCCAAATATAGAGGTGGTCTTAGGGACCCGCAACACAGAAGCTTTCTAAAAAAGCCAGAATTCTTACCTGCTGATATGCTGCATAGATCACATCATATAGAAAAGCCTGTGGCATTTCACTTGCTCTGTGTCTGGCACGTTCCAGGGAGTGGTCTAAGCAACCATCGGCAGATGGACTGATGACGGTGGATACAAGAGGGCGAATTGCTCCTGCTGCCTAAATAACAAACAGAGGCAAGCAAGACATTGTTTCACCTAGAAAATATTTGGAAGTCAAATTCTAAACTCTGTATCTTATTTTTGAAAGCAGATGTTATTCATACCTTCAACAAACTACCTCAAGAAAATATCTGAACAAATATTCATTTGGTTCATAAATCAAATCATGTCACACCAAGAACCAATTTCATAATATTACAGTTCCATATATAAGAGGTAGAAAATTTTCTTCATCATAGGTTTAAAATCCTTTTTATACAGGCCATTGAAGTCAAATACTAAAAATGGATGCAATGATATAATTGGGTATTCTCTAAAGATGGAAGAAAGAGAAACACTATATGAAAGAACTGAAATGAATTATACATGAATTACTAATTAGTATGCTTTCAAAAGATTTAACTTACACATTAAAAAATTAAGGAAACAGACATATTCCCTAAGATCCCCAAAATGAGACTCAACAACCCACATAACAATGAATTTATGTTTTGCTCTAATTCCTGTGAAAAACAGTTCTCTTCAAACATAGCATTAGTGGAATGCTCCCTCAGGCAAAATATCCATTAATATCAATTGCTCTGATAAAAGCTCTGTTTCATTAATAGAGGTATCTAAATTTTATTAAAAAACACACCTTCATATCTGACAATTTTTGCCTTTAGCTTTAATACAGTGCCTTTGTAATATAGACTTAGAGGTCATTACCAAACAGCTGTCTTGGAGAAGTAGCCTTAAAATACAGTTCCTATGGTAGGCAATTAAACCAAACCTCCTTATATTGTATCCAAAATATCCTATCTTTCACGTAATTGCTACAGGGGGATTGCAGCACAAATACAACACATTTGGCCTGAAGACCAACATCTGAGCAAGAAAGACAGTCTATGAACTAGTTTACAAATGCCAAAAGATTGGCTAAAAATCAAAGCTAATGTATGAGCCATGTAGACAGTTTACAAACTGTGTCACCATTTCCAGTGACGCAAGTAAAAATTTGGACCCGAGGCATAAAAATGAGGAGACCAGCCAAGGGTGACAGGGAGGAAGTGATGTCCAAGTAGGTGAAAGGTAAGTAAGGTAAGTAAGGAACAAGCCCAACTGATCAAACCTATCAGTAGGGGTTAGAAGACAAAACAGAAAAGAAACACATGTGCACACGTGTATATACATACACTGCTTTTTAAGAAAAAAATTAAATTTCCATTGCAAGTACTTATAGCTAATTTTATGCCAGGCCACGAAATAAAAATTTACTTAAAAGAGAACATGAGACATTCAAGTGTCAACATGAGAAGCTCCACAGATTCTCTCCCAAGCAAATTATAAATAGTGAAAATTATTTAAAAAACAAAACATGGAAAAGCCATTGAAAATTGTCCTAAGGGCATTCAGCAAATTAGGAAACTTTATTCAAGAAAATCTTCTAAATCTTGGGGAGAGTAAAGAGAGAGCCTGTGGTGCTCAAGTCGTATCCATTTCTTCTCTCATTCTACACCCAGTTTAGTATGGCTGAAGTTCCTCTTAGAATAGGTATGGCCAACAAATGGGGCTCCCTCTCCCCCTAGTTCCCAATGGGAGAAGCAGAGTGCTAACATTTCCCATCTTACTGAGCTCCATGTCTCCCACAGAAGCTAAATAACAGGCAAGTGTGTCCAAGAGGTTAGAGACACCGATGTATAGGGTAAGGATCTGCCCCAGAAATGATAGGCAGAGAATACTGGGGCCTGGATGTCTCTTGCATCAGATCACACATAATGCAGAGGTCCTATACCAGAAGAGGCAAAAAGAAATTCTGGGAGTCTCCTAATGCCCCCATGCAGCACCCTGCTCATGAAGTAGGGGTATCAGTCTGAAAGAAACAGTCATCATGCCCACCCACATCTCCAAAGTAGTGATGCAGTGACTGTTCGCAAGGCAAGAGACAGGCTCAAAGAGCAGAGGGCTATGAAGCTTTCCCCAAGGGAAATCACGTTATTTGGAAGTTTAAGCCCAAGGACACTCCCAAATGAAATGAGACTGTCATGATAAGTAATTAAGAGGAGGCCAGTAGATACAGGAGACCAAAAGGCTAAACTGCAGGCTGGCTAGTTAACTAGAGAACACCAGGGAAAGAGACAACAAGAGCCTCCCTGGGATAAGAACAAACCTCCAACACTGGCCTCAAAAACCAGCCCTGCCAAGGGGCCAGAACTTAATGGATCAGGCTGTAGAGCAATTTATGCTCAGAGCACTGTCCTCTGCCCCCCCCCCCCAAAAAAAGAGTAATGAGTTGGCAATAAATGAAGCTTATCAATTAGGGGTGATGTCTACAGTGGCAGTCAGTATAACAGAGAGATCAGGGAAGACGCTCAAAGAGAACCCTGCAAAGATCACATGCCCAAGACAGTACCCTCTGAGAAGTGACACCAGAGGCTTCACCCTGTAGAGGAAAAGACTTCACTAGAATAGACCAGCAAAGTTGCAAACAAATAAGCAAATAACAGCTCCTAGGGATGTGGGAAGAAGAGGATCCATATCTAAAACTTATAAAATACACGATTTAAAATAGCCAGTTTTTCAAAATATTGAGATGCAATGAAACAGAATTTTTTTTCTTTTCTATAGTTATTGCTATACATAAAGCAGTGATCATGAATGAACTATAGCTGCAGATTCACATACATACATTTCCCAAAATATGTTGTGCAAAAAAAAAAGCTGTCAAGATATATGCAAAACATAAGATTTAGAATATCATACAAATATATGTTAATTATATGTCAATTATACCTCAAAAAATATATAAAAACAAATCAAACAAGCATAAGAAATGTTCTTTAGGGATACATGCTACAAAACTGAAGAAAAAAAGCAAGAGAGCAATAAAAACAAAGTTCAAGGTAGTGTTACCCATTTGGGAGGAGTAAATAAGATCAGGGCAGGGACACAGTTTCAAACTGACTACTAAAGTTTGATTCATTATACCAAGTGACAGATCTGAAGGTGTCCAAAGTTTTCTGTATGTTTTCAGTATTTTTAAAAAGAAAATTTCTAAAATGTGTATTTATGGACTCTCATTTTTTATTATTAAAAACTAACTTCTTGAGACCAGAAATCATACATATTTGAGATGTCATGGCAGAATGGGTGAATTCCAAGAATTAGTAAGTCCTTACCTATGGAATCCAAAATATCATTTAGAAAGTAGTACAATATGAAGACAATCAAAAACACAGGCAATTACCAGCTTCCGGGGTCTTACTAAACAAAAGGCCCAGAAAAAGGGCCACAAGTGAAAATAACTCCTTTGTTGACCTTTCTTTTCTCTGACTACTATTCCAGCTATCTGGATAAACAGTATAGAAGAAAGATGCTAATGCTAATAGACATGTATTCTATATCTAGTTCCCTGGTAAGGGACATTTGTTCAGAAATAAACATGCAATGAATCCTCAGTTATATGATCTTTTCTGAAATTCAAAGCATCAAATTATGACACAAGTTTGGACAAAGATGGTTAGTTGCCTCCCAAATGCAGCGATCTGGGAAGCCTGAAGTATGATTCCCAAGTGATCAAATACACTGTCTCCTTGGGAATTAGTATAATAAGCCTGAATGGAAGCTTAACAGCTCAGCACCACAGTGATTACTTGCCTCTCAGGCTAATCTATCAAAGTATTTCCACATGTCAATGCATGGAAATCAGCATAGATATAAATCATACAATGTGGAAATAATGAACCCCACCTCTACTGTTCACCTTTTTAAAGCAAAATTGAACAATGCTAATCATCCATCCACACAGCAGGTGCTAACAGGCATTACTCCTCAGGCATCTGCATTCAAGCTAATTATGACAATGTATATCAGAAATCCTCCAACCTTGTAATTACAATTTCAGTTAGCTGATTTGTCTTTATTGAAACACTACTTAATAAATATTTACAGAATAAGATATTCAAAGCTAATCATTAGCAATTATAAGATTCTGGATATTTTCTAATAGAATACTTCCAACCTCCTTTTTGACAAAGTAAAAGAATCTATTATTTATTCAATATAGAAATATAGGTATTTTAGAAAAACCTCTGTCCAAGTTACTATGTCACTGCAAAATACCCCTAAAAGTAAATACATAGCAGAAAGGAATAAGGAGTTCTCCTTTATATACTACTGAATTTTAATTCTTGGAAGCTAAGCTAGTAACATTTACCTTAAATCTAATATGACCAGGTATGTCACACTTGGATATGTATGTAATAAGCTTTATTTCATTTTAATCCCTACATAACTCATCTTGCCTTGATCTACCCCTTCTCCAACTTCATTTTAAGTAATTCATTGAACAGATATATAGGGGTTGGTAATTTCAAGTAATGCAGTAAAACAAAAGCTTTTTCACACAGTATCTTCTCCAGCATCAGAAACAAATCAAGTTTCACTCATTCCATGGCATTTAAATCTTTATCAAAGTAGGTCTAAAATTTACCACTAATCAGAACTCACTGCTTACTCACAAATAAAAGTGATTCATCACAGCTAGGACTTAAATCAACACCAAAGTGTCTCTCCAATAGATAATGACACAAGATCCAATGACCCAGGGGAGCTCATTACTTGAACCCCACCCAGGACTAAACTCTGCCCTTCAGTGCACTTTCTCATGATCAAAACCATCCAACAGAGTTCAGAACAAGTGACCATTAGCCTTGGTCACCTCATCCCAATGTCAAATTTCCACCAAGTAATTTTCCATCTCTATTTTAGAACATGCCCAGAATATACTGCACAAAGTTGTAAAATTGAGTGGTGGGAAAGTACATTCTTCCTGATGCACACATATGAAACTTAATAGAATTTCCAAAGTGCTATCAATCATTGATTAATACAGTCATGCTGCAGAATCCAAACAGATCACATACAAACATACCCACACACCACATGTCAACGTTTCTGGTTATAATATGCAATTCAGTTTCTCTTTAGAAGATGACTCAAAGACTTTCTAAGTAAAAACTAGTTAATGTTTAATGAAGAAATGTATATTCTTCCTATATGAGAAAGGAGGTCTACATAAACCTTTGATTTTAAGCCCTCTGTAAGATTCTACCACTACTAAAGTTCTTTAACTGTTCAAGAAACAAAATATCCAGAGCCATTTTCAAACTGAGATCATATCCAATTGCTCACTAAATTAGAGACAACTATTTACCTTAAGAAAAGGAAAAAGGTGGTGATCACAATCTATGTTAAGTCAAGACGTTATGCTGTATACCTTAAACTTATTTAGTGCTGTATGTTCATTATACATCAATAAAATGGGGGGGGGGAGAAAGAAGGACAAAATCATGTGTAATATTATGGTTAATTATGCTCTAACCCTGTACATTTATTATCCACCATATAACTGGTGTGGGGGCTGGGGATGTAAACAGGGATACTGCTAACCACCCCACAGTGCAGGACAGCCCCCACAACAAAGAGTTATATTACCCAAAATGTTAGTCATGCCAAGCTTGAGAGACCCTCATCAATGTTCAAATATAGAAAGAAATTACATCAATATTCAAATATAGAAAGAAATTACAGTGTGGAGCCTGCTATCAGATGCAAAAATCCCTCGTTTTAAATATTAGAAAGCAACCCAATTCAAGGGGACCTGGTTTTATGAGAATTCAGTAAAATGTACCATAAACCAGTGCTCAAAAGGTCCTAGGCAATTAGAACTCTTAGATAAATACAATATCCATGGGTAGGTCTGCAGAGTTGTGGCAAGCAAGATAGTGTCTAAACTGTAACATCACAAAGCCTTGGAGAGATGTTGGGATGGGGAGACCAGGAGCACAGGGATTTCAGGAGAAGACATGTTGAGGCCTACTGTCAGAGAAAGGGAGGAAAAGTAAAAGCACACAAAATACATGTCTTTTCATAGTTAGCTGACTTCCAAAAGCTGGATAAAATCCAGGAAACAATTATATCCTATATTTTCAAAGTATTGGGAGTTAAAAGCTGAAGCCTTAGAGTTTGTATACCCAGACAAACTATCATCAAGAGTAAGGATGAACAAACACTAAAAGAATTTCACTGCTGGTCCTACTGAGGTCCTGTCGAATCTGTGGAACCCAAGAAGGGTGCATACACAATGAAGAGAGCGAAATTGTGTCCTTGTGATACTTTCGAGTTCCTGTATGCAGGCAACTCTAATGTTAGCCTTAATATTGCACATCTTAGTCTCTTGAGGTAATTAATACATCTACATTAATTTGTCTTGTTTTATCCAAAATGTAATATAAGTTAAAAAATCATAGTTATCTGTAGCATGTATACCACCTCAGGGGCTGTCACACTGTGTAGCTTACTTAGAAAATGATTTATCTAAATAGGACCTTTTGGTAGAGCTTGAAAATTTGGGGCTAAGAAAAGAAGAAAATCTGTTCAGAGTCTATAGAACACAATTTATGAGAACAAGGGACAAGGAATCCATGGAAAAGAAATTGTAAAGTGTCTTTGACTAAACAGTCATCACTCTTTTCTTGCCTTAGATAGTATTTGATTCAGGCCAATATTTTGCAATTTATTGGCCAGTGGTTATAAAAGATGCCAATTCTTCCCACCAACATAAGAACTTCAATTACTAGGATAAGTTTCTATTAATTGCATTTATGTTTTTTTATGATTACAACAGTATGAGGGTTGGCAGGAAGTAGTGCCTGGATTTCCTGAAGCTATTGGATCACTATCCTAACCATTTCAAGGAAATTTAGAATATATACACACACATTCATCATACATATTGGAATTTTGACTGACTTCTTAGACATTTTCCCTACTCTGATGACATTATTACTACATTCTTCTCCAAATAGCTCATATTACATTATGAGGATAAATGACTATAGCAAAGATAAATTCCAGAACAATCTCGCAATCTACAAAATTTCTAAAACAAATTACCCTAACCTCTTCAGATCATCATGCCCATTTTAATAATTTCACATTTAAAAATCCTAATATATAAAAAGCCAGGGGCCGTTATGACCTAAACAACTGGACGGACAACTGAACAGTAGGATGCCTGTGGGAGGGAGCTCCCTTCTGGCCCCAGCCAGGGCGCAGCGGAACTCTGGGTCTTGCATGATCGGGGGCATGGCCGGCCTTCAAACCGGACCCTGACAGGAGAGAGGAGGGAGCCCCATTCCTCGCATAATCAGCTGTTGGTCAGCTTGGTTTCAGCGACCTGCCAGCCAGGAATCCCATTCCCCTGCACCCCGGACCCTGACAGGAGGGAGGAAGGAGCCTCTTGGCTTTTTCACAAATGATTGGTAACCTCCCGGCTTTTTCACAAATGATTGGTAACCTCCCGGCTTTTTCACAAATGACTGTTTGCATCAGTGTTGTTTTTACATCATGTTTTTGTTGTTTTTATATCATATCTTTGTTGTTTTGTTACATCAACAACAACAAAGATATGATATAATTTCCTCTAATTAATTCCCTTTTAATGTGCATGAATTTCTTGTACCGGGCCACTAGTAATTCCATCAAAACTCAGCAAATGAACCACTCTATATAGTGTTTGCCTCTTTTATCCATTCACATAGTATAAATACTTACCCCATGTTCCTTAGCAGCTGTGGCCACTTTAAGGAGAATATCTTCCTCCACAAAAGGTCTCACAGCATCATGGATAATCACTACTTCTGGCTTCGAGAGCTTGGAGTCTGGCTGATCCTCAGCCAGAGCTTTTAGTCCATTGAATATTGACCTGTGGCGGGTCACTCCAGCTTCAACTAGTGAGATGCGCTTATGCTGGTACTTCTGAATAATACCCTTCATTGCTTCCATGTTCTCTCTAGTTACTGACACAACAATGTCCTTTATCCAACATACTCTAAAAGGAAAGTACATACACATTTTATATAGATTGATTTGGATGCAACAACTAAAGTTAAGCTAATAACAGAAAATTAATTTTAGTAAGTACTAGTATATCTTCATAGAAAGATTAAGAACTGAAAGTTAATCAGTTTTATGAATTTTTATCAAGTTTAGTAAAGAGATTAAAAAATAAAACATCAGTGACTATGTCACACTATATAGAAACAGACAGATATAAACATAATATTACACAATATATAGTGTGAAATTATCTATAGAGTGAAAATAGATAGATATGATATATAGATACATAGTATAGATTTCTGTCTTAAAAGTTAGATTTAAATAATTATAATATTAATCAGTAGAGAAAAAAGAATATAACAAGAATATGCTTTTAAATTGATTTTCTCCAAATAATTTTTTTCCTCATAGAATAGGAACCCTTCAAAGCACTTTTAAATTCCAAAAGCTCTGTCTCTTTCTTCTAGAAAGTTCACTGAACTGACAACAAAGCTGGATAACTAACTCAAACTTTGCCGACATCAGGGTGAAATACTGTAGCTTAAATGGGGAAACTATAATAATTAAATTAATATAAATATAAATCCAGCTTGAATAAAATGGGAAAAACTCATAATTTAGTAAAATATAAAATTGAAAAAAGAAATTAATCTGTTGAGTCAGATATAAAATATAAAACTTTTTTTTTCCTGTTGTAAAACATTTTCTTAAAAGAGAGCCACTGACATACATTGAGTGATGGCTGCGTTAAAGAAGTTTGGCAGACTTCTCTTGAACACCAGTGCTAACAGTGGGTAATGTCATTTTAGACACAATGTTCCACAGCCCACAGGCCTAAGCCAGGAAAACGCCCTCTGAACCATGACATCAACTCTGAATGAAGTCCACTTTAAAATTTAATAGAATCCCTAGTCTATGAGATTCTATATGTTTAAGTCAAACATAGTTTTAAAGAGATGGAAGAGGGGTCTTAAAAGTACTAAGTAGTGAAATTAACTCTCCACTTCATTGAAAAAAAATGAATGAACAACATTGGGTTGCTTTATTCAATAATTATCAATCTCCTACTGTCTGTTATTGAACAAATCCTTTGCATAATCCAAAACTCCATTCTGCCTGGGGCTACAAGAATACTACACTGATGAACAGAACCAAGAGCTACTCAACAGGCATGCTGTCTTTTCATTTTAAGTCCATTCCCTTAACAAATATTTACTGCGCACCAAATAAAGTATCAGCATTGAGTATACGATGGAAATAGTCACTGCCTTCACAGAGCTTACAGATGAAACACATAAGAACACTAATAAACAATTGCAAATTGTGATCAAGTGCTATGAAAGAGCAGTCCAGGCTCCAGGACTGTGTACAAGTAGAATATTTAACCAGCAGAGAAAAGTTCAAGATGATGCCCCTTTAAGAAGAGTTTGCTCTACCATCCAAGCTGAGAGTGGCAGGAAAACAAGCAACAGGGTTTGGAGGGGGGAAGAGAGGGCTGGTGTAAGCAGAGGCCACTGCAAGGTCCTGAAAAGCTGGGAAGAAACGGAGTTCTATGAGCAAGCGGGGGAAAAGAGCTTGATGTGGATGGAGGCCCAGGAAAGCACAGGGCTGGGGAGGCCATGCAGACCTCCCAGCCCAAGGTAGGGGCTTACGTCTTTAATCCTAAAAGTATTAGGAACCCATAGGAAAGCTTAATTCATAAGAAGACATTCATGCAATAAATAAACTAACAAACTAACTTATTTCCACCAATGTTCTAGACACTGTTCTATGACATGATGGTAGCAGAATAAAGGCCCCCGAAAGATGTCCATCCCCTAGCTCCCAAAACCTGTGACTATGTAACCTTACACACCAAAGTAATGATGCAGATGTGATTAAGGGTCTTGAGATGGAAAGATCATCCTCGACTATCTTGGTGGGTGCAATATACTCATGAGTCCTTATACGTGAAAGAGAGAGGCAGGTGAGTCAAAGAAGGAGGTGTGATAACAGAGAGATTCAGGACCACAAGTAGAATCTTGAAAATTCCAAATAAATGGATTATCTCTAGAGCAGTGATGGCGAACCTATGACACGCATGTCAGAGGTGACACGCGAACTCATTTTTTTTGGTTGATTTTTCTTTGTTAAATGGCATTTAAATATATAAAATAAATATCAAAAATATAACTCTTTGTTTTACTATGGTTGCAAATATCAAAAAATTTCTATATGTGACACGGCACCAGAGTTAAGTTAGGGTTTTTCAAAATGCTGACACGCCGAGCTCAAAAGGTTCGCCATCACTGCCCTAGAGCATCCAGAAGAAACATAGCACTGTCAGTATCTTTATTTTAGCCCACTGGGAATGATTTGGGGCTTCTGACCTCCAGAAGTGTAAGATAAATTTCTATTGCTTTAAGCCACTTGGTTCATGGAAATTTTTTACAGAAGCAATAGGAAACTAATATAACAGCATAAATTTTACTCTGACTGCAAGGTGAAAAATAGATTTAGTAGACAGAGAAAGAATGCAGATAGACCAGGTAGGAGACTACTGCTAAAGTCTGGGCAAGACAATGATGATAGTCTGGCTACCAGATGGAGCTTCTAGATGGGAATTAAGAGATAAATTAGAGGTAATCTACATTAGCCAATAACAGCAATATAATTATCATATAATGTAAATAATAATAGTTAACATAAGTTAAGCACTATATCCTAAGCATTAGTAATATTCTAACTCTCATGTAATCCTCACAACACTATACTGTCTCTCATAATCTGGTAAACAAATCAGAAAGATATCTGATACCTAATTTTCCTACACTACCATCTTATGCCAAAAATAAAATACTTTGAAAAAAAATGTTTTTATCATTTTTCATCAAGATAATACAACATGCCATCCTTTAGAATGTAGGTTCCATGATAGCAGGAACAATCTGTTTTGTTCATTGCTTTACACTTTATACCTAGGAACAGTGATGGCGAACCTTTTGAGCTCGGCGTGTCAGCATTTTGAAAAACCCTAACTTAACTCTGGTGCCGTTCACATATAGAAATTTTTTGATATTTGCAACCATAGTAAAACAAAGAGTTATATTTTTGATATTTATTTTATATATTTAAATGCCATTTAACAAAGAAAAATCAACCAAAAAAATGAGTTTGCGTGTCACCTCTGACATGCGTGTCATAGGTTCGCCATCACTGACCTAGGAGGTATTCAATTATTTGTTGAATGAATAAATGACTTTAGTCTGTCTCATCTATCAGGAGCAGTGCAACATCTTAAAACATTGCATAGTTTCAAAGATTATGAGAATACAGTAAAAATCAAGAATAAAAACAGCCTTCCCTATGCAATGTGGTTTTGTAGATTGTTTTGTTTTGAGATGTTTTACTCTTTACTCTAATTCCTAGATTCTAAATCTCCTAGAGGGCCAAAATACTTACATATGTAAATCATTTGAGGGAATTAACTCACAGAATACCAAAGAATAAAATATATGGCAATCTGTGCAGGCAATAAAAGGAATTTTGGAATAAGCTAAGTATGGGTGCTCTTTGTTTTTTAGCCCATCCATCCTCCACTCCTTTTATTGCAAATTTAACAATTGCTAGAACTTACACTATACTGATATGGTTTAGAGTTATACTATACTTAACAAAGCCCTTAGCAAATAACTGACAGTTCCTCAGTGTTCCCAAAATATGGGGTTTCCCAAGATTCTGTCTGCAGTGGCACAGCTCTCCCATAATGTATTACACCAACCTCTTTGCTGGTCTCCTTCTCATTTTATCTCAACAAAAACCATTCTCACCAGTTCTAGATGGTTTTCTTCAAGTGCAAACCTGAGGCCTACCCCTGCAGGCTCTTGAGCAGGGCCCTTCAATTCCTGAGCTCAGCCTACTTCTCGCTGCACCACTTGATCTCTCCATATCCCTCTTACTCTACTGACCACATTCTCTCACACCCATGACTTTGCTTGTGCTGCTTCCTTTGCCTCTCAACACTATCCCCTGACCCTGTCCCTCCCCTACCCCCACCCACTCTAGGCTGAGTCCTACTCTCTTCAGCTGTCAGCTCCAGGAAGATGTCCCTGTAATTCTGGGTGAAGCATTGCTTCCAGAGGACTCTTATCAAGCTAGGGAGTCTTATCAAGCATCATACTGTATTCTGTTTCCTTTTCTATATCCTTGCTAACTCATAGAAAGAAAAGACTACACCCCAGGGCCTGGCACCTACTAAACTTTCAGTAATATTAATAGTAGAAACAGCAACTAAGATGTACTGATTGCCTGCTAGGTGCCAGGTACTGGAGCATTTGCCTGCAATATCCTGTAATATCTCAATACTTATATCAGCTCCATGAGAGAAGTTACTATACAATTTTACAGTGGATACAGATGCAGTGATCTGTCTTTGATCACATAGTTAGGAATGAAGGGACCTGGGTGAACCCAGTTTGATTTTGGAACTCATATTGTTAGCCTCCGTAAATGCATTAACACTCTGAGAAAGAAGCCATAAAATTCTAGAGAGATAATATTATGTCTGAATTATTGTGTCTCCAGCACTTCATTTATGTTATTAGTGTTGAACCATATAACATTGCTGCATTTGTGGTAAAAAAAAAAAAAAAAAGTCAAATTTCTTATAATTCAAGCAAACACAGGTATTCCTTGATCAGTGTGTTCATTTAGTCACTCAACAAACGTCAAGCATCTAGCATTTGCCAGTCACTATGCTAGACACTGGTGTTATATAGTGAACAAACACTGGCAGAATTCCTGACCTTGCAGACCATATGTCAATAAACACCTGTTAAATGAATCAATGAATAGAGAAGAGAAAGCCTAAACAATTACAAAGGAATAAAAACTGCTCTTGAGTTTATTTATAGAAAAGAATTTCTAAAAGTAAAAAATATATTTGAGTTGTTTATTAATACAACATCACACTAAGCTTATTTTTAAGATAGAGAAATTATAAAAGCATGCCCAACTAAATCAGTGGGCAGGAT